TAATAGCGCCAGAGTGACAGTGGGGCCCAGAGAAAATAGATAACGTGGCTGCTGCTATGGCCAGTCAATTTCGTGTTTGTATAGTTCAAGTAATTTCGGCCACCTGTTTTTACCGGGAGAAGATATTTAGCTCCATAGATTTTGTCTTTTTTTTTTTTCAAAAAATTTAAAAATATTATTTGTTTATTGAAATATGATCATATTTTGGAAAAAAAATTCAAGTATTTTTAAGTTCCCAAAAGCTAGTTTAGAGCAATTTTTGGGTGAATTTTTTTCAGTCACAAAACTTCAATTTTTCTTCAAATTAAATGCATGTTCAATAACTTCAACTTTCAAAAATTATTTTTCAACACAAGTTCAAAAACTATTTTTTCAAGTTTCAGTCAAATCTATGTCCAAACGTTAGCTTAACTTCTTTTGGTTTTTCGGTATCTGTATTGGTGCCCCCATATTAGGTGAGGGAGAGGGGTAAAGCGCTCCCTGACAAAGGCGACTCCATATCCAAGGCTCGAACCCAAGACCTATGTTTAAAGATGAAAGAATTATTATCACTCTCCTACAACCCTCGTTGGTAGGAGAAGATATTTACATAGTACTACTAGCAGGTGCAAATTCACTATTGATTGATATCAACATTAACTATGGAAATAAGTAGTGGAGTTTTAATGTTTTTGTTGTTTAAATCGACATTATTAAAGTGTGATTACCCTTTTGATAATGACGGTGTTAATTGAATATCAATCACTTTCTTCTTTAATGTATTCAAACTTGCATTTCGTACATGCCACAAAGATACCAAACGTCATACAAAATAATCTTTCACAAGAAAATAAACAAATAAATATCATAATTTTTTTAGTATAATATTTGTTGCTTAGTGGGTTTCAAATTCAATGTTTCATTTCAAACTCATCAGCTATGATTAGGACTGGCACATGATAAGGACAAAGAAGCAACATGTTTTCAATGCAAATAAATCACCTAGATTCTTTTCTAAAAAGATTTTTTTTTTTTAAAAAAAAAAAAAATCTTCCTAGGCTTAAGTTATATATACTTATATAAAAAATATTTATACAGTCAATGCTCGATTCAATTGTATCTATAATTACCAATAAAACTTATAAGAAGCGCAAAATGATAATTTAATAAAAATAATAATTAACCTACTATTAAAAATTAAATTACACTTACAAGTACTCCCTCCGGTCCAAATTAAGTGATTTTTTGGCCTTTTTCTTGTGGTCCAAAATAAGTGATTTTTCCAGATTTCAAGAATGAATTAATTACTTTTTTCCTACATTGTCCTTGGAGTAAATAGTGTTGGAATATGTGTCAAGAGTGTTTATGTGAGATAGTAAAGGTTAATATGGTCAATTCTATTGCTAATTAATACTAAAAGGTGGATTTCTTAATCTGTGTGAAAACATCCAAAAAATCACTTATTTTGGACCGGAAGGAGTATAACTTAAATCCTATCCTCAATCATTAATGACAAATGAAATGATTGATGTCTTTGTCACTATAGGTAACCAGTGGGTACACATGGCAGTTTTTGGTTTGATAGGGACAAAAGCACCACTAATTGGTTATATATGAAAATAATTAAGGATTATGACTACTTTTATTAACCAATTTAATTTGTGGCCTAAATTCGTAATAGAATAACATGCCACATAAGCTCTAACATCCTCATATCAATCAATTTTTAAATAAGGATTGATAAGTTGAGAGAGTTCTAGAAGGGATTGACATTCATCTTCAAACCTGTATGATACAAATAGACAAAACATATTATTTTTATTTTTTATTAGAGAGAAATCTCAAGTGATTCTATTACACAAAAAGTGAAAAAAGAACTTATAAAGAGGAGGAACACATGGCAGTATGTTGTTTGATGAGGACAAAAGCACCACAAATTGGTTTGATGTGAATGAATTTAAGGATTATGACTTCTCTTTCTTTAGCATATTTCTATAGATTCTTGCCTAAATTCATGATCATGTCATTTCATGCCAAATTTTAAAAATAAGAGAGTTCTAGAAGTGATCAATATGACATATTATATACTCACATAATTTTATTTTTTATATTTGCATAAAAATAAGAAGTGATATATTAAAATTTCTCTCAGGTAGTGTCGACATTTATAGAAGTAAAGAAATAAATAAGTTGCAGTTGAATCTGCCTCTGATGATAAGATTAAAAATTGGTAAAATAACACTTTATAGCCGCTCTTAAATAATAGCCGACAAAATATATAATTTTTCGTATATTTATACATTGTATGCTATATACAAAAATTATACAAATTCTATACACTTTTTCAGCTACCAAATATAAATAGTTTCTGACGCGGACTAAAAGTAAAAAAAAATGTCCTTAAATACTGGAACTTAACAAATTAAAGTACATGTGGCAACTTAATAATTTTATACTTTTGTAACTTAAATGATGGAGAACTCCTTGAAACTTATGAATACAATAGAGTTTTAACAAGATAGATATGATTTTGGGAGAGAATGAAGATGGTTACTTTGATTAAATTTTGCTCTCCTCTTCTCTATTGGAAAAGTTAGAACTCTTTCAACATTCTTCTAATCTTATTCAACATATTTTATTTTCCTAAGGGACGAGTATAATAACATGTTCTATCAAAAATTTATCGTTGATATGTCTCTTTTTGACAAAGAGTAAGACAATAGTAAATTTGTCATGTGCCAGTATTTGTGGTGTGACAGAGAGGAACATTGACTCTTCTCGAAATTGACCTTTTTATAAGTTGCATAACGTATGATCACTAATAGAATAAATGAACTAACTTTAATAAGAAGTGTACTTACTTCTTTATATTTGCTTAAAATGTTTCTTTTGAGCATATCAATTGCTACCAATCCAAAGCTGAGAAATGTTTCATAGTTGAGAACTTGTGATGAAATTGTGAAAATAGCACGGGCTAGCCAATTTTCGATTTGGTAATTGAAAAATAGTCATCGTTTACAAAGTCATTGAAAAATAGTCATTATTTTGCTGCAACACGGAAAGTTCTAGCATAATATATTGGATATTGGTGCATATGTGTATGAACTTCCAGCATATTATGCTGGAATTCCAACACACAGAAAGTTCCAGCATAATAACTGGAGATTGGAGCACATGTGTATGAACTTCCAACATATTAACTGGACCAGTATATTATGCTTGAACTCCAGTATATTATGTTGGAAGTCCAGTATATTATATTGGAACTCCAGTATATTATGCTGGAATATTTTCCGGATTTTGAACAGTGTTTTCGTTCAGATTTATCTTTACATAAAAAGTGGCTAAATTTCGATTAATTTTGAAACTGTGACTATTTTTCAATTACCACTTGTAAATCTGGCTATTTTTTAATTTCACCCAAATGAAACTGGGCCTTCTAAACCAACCCATGGACATATCGGGAGAAATTCAAAAATAGCTAGAATTACAATTGGTCATTCAAAAATAACCACAGTTTTAAAAGTAATCAAAATTTAGCCACTATTCATGTAAAGATAAATCTGAACGAAAATACTGTTCAAAATTCGGAAAAATACTCCAGTATTATACTGGAGTTACAGCATAAGTATACTGGAAGTCCAGTATATTATACTGGAACTTTCCGCGTGTTGGAGTTCCAGCATAATATACTGGAAGTTCATACACGGATGTACCGATCTCAGTATATTATGCTGGAACTTTCTGTATTGCAGCAAAATAGTAGCTCTTTTTCAATGACTTTGCAAATGCTGACTATTTTTGAATGACCAATCCGAAAACTGGCTTGCTATTTTTACGGACATATCTTTAGAGCAACCCAACTTCATGGACTACTATCAAATGGTTTTACGACGTTTGCGTTCAATAATTTTCGGACATTTTCTTTTCGTTTCTTGTTTTTTCTTATGATATATTATGATATCTATGCTTCGGTTATAAAAATCAGAAAGGTTTCTATTATAAAATTGATAATAAAAAGAGAAATTTCCAAAAAATGCTAGTACGATGTAGAGCCTAATTACCATAAGTAATTATAATTTGCCTAATTGTCATTCGTAAATATTGTTCAATTGTTACCAGCTTGCATCACTTGTATTCCGACGCGCAATGAATACAACAGGTGTCAACTGTATTCGTTCATGCAACGAATACAACCAAAAGAAAATACAGAAAAATATAATGCTCTCATTGAGTCAAACTCAAGACTTCCGCTTACTAAACGGGTGCTCTAACCAACTGGGCTACGAGAGCTCGTTGCTCTCTTGTTTCATTTCAAAACAATTAATCTCTTGTTTCAGCACTACATGTGGATATGCTATAAAATTCAAAAATCTCCTTGAATGCATGTAAGTGAGTCTCTATTCGATATATACATGCATACCTAAATGTGAACATATTTATTTTGATCCCTCTGAAATTTCATATTCGAAGTTGCGATCGGATCGGACAGTATTTTTTTAAAAATATAACTACGAATAGAAAATATAATAGTATATACTTATATTCACCGTGTCGCGTAATTTTTCCTATTAAAAACTGTTGATACATGGGATGAGAGAGCACAACACATATGCATGTAGCAATGACATGTCTTCTCACTAAACTGATCAATCCAAGGATAATTCTAGCAGTCCAAATATTTATATCAATCGACATTATCCTCATTCCTCTACATAAAGAAAGGGATCTCTTTTTCAATTCCACCAAAATGTACTGTATAAAAATTGAATCATAACAATATAACTGAAATGAAATGTTTATTTTTACTAAAATGTATAGTATATACTTCTCAAATCTTACTTATAGGACTCTCTAACCTTTCTGAGGAGCTAAACTGTTTTAATTCAATTAAGACTCTATAACACTTGTAAAATTTTTTGATTGGCTGTACTTTTATGTAATTTTCAAAACGTAAATGTTACTACAAATTTATTTGAAATTTAATGTACTTAGTTCATTTAGTTAAAAGTTGTTTGTACCTGGAAATAAAACACACTACTTTGCCAGATACAGTGCGGCTGCACTTAAGTTATAGTGTTCTGTTTGTCTGTTGGTGTCGAATTGCGCCGCCGGGGGATAATCAATGGAGTCACTGTTAGTCTCTTCCTCAACCTCTTCGTCAATCTCCCTCACCATTTTCTCTCCGTCCAAACACGCCCTAATTCTTCCTAAACCCCAAAACCTCTCCTTCTCTTCCCCTAACTCCACTGCTCGCCTAGCATTGCTCACCTGCGCCGCGCAGCAGATGAATAACTCTCCACCACCTTCTACGGCGGCTGCAAAGGAGGTGAAATTATGGGGCGGCCGTTTCGAGGAGAGTGTTACAGATGCCGTTGAGAAGTTCACTGAGTCCATTTCTTTTGATAAGGCTTTATATAAACAGGATATTATGGGTAGTAAAGCTCACGCCTCTATGCTCGCTAAACAGGTTAGTTTTTTAACTTTTCTTTTAATGTGTATTGTCAAGATTTATTTTTTAATTGTTAAAGTTGATAAATTTGTTGGATAATCAAGTGGGTTACATAAATTCTAGTATATTTTTTCTTTTAACGTGTATTGCCAAGCTTGATTCTTTTATAGACTTTAAGTTGATTAATTTATTGGATAATCAAGTGTGTTACTTTGTAATTTATCTGGGTTTGCAGTAAAAGAATCAATCTTTTGCATTTTTGGGTAGCTATGCTCAAGATTGATTCTTTTATTGTAAAAGTTGATTAATTTATTGGATAATGAAGTGGTTTATCAATGTTGTGTCCTCATTTTCTCTTTTTAAACATAAAACAGCAGCAGTTGAGTACTATAAATACGTAGTTTTTGTATGTTTTTCCTACTTTTTTCTTCCTTTAGCGGAAGTTGTGAGCTAACAGTAGAAGATACTAGTACCTAATGGTGTGGCTTAGTGATCAATAAAGTGGACGATAACCATGAGTTCTCAGATTCAAATCGCAGCAAAGACAAGAAAATACTATAGTTGATTTCTTCCCATTTGTCTAAGCCTTGATGAACAGGGTTACCGGGTACCTGTGTTGGTGGGAGAAATAGAAGATACCCGGTGGAATAGTGGAGGTGCGCACAAGCTGGTGCAGTCACCACCGTCATCCTAAAAGAGAAAATGACAGAAGAGGCTGACAATAACTTGTTTTTAGTGTACAAGTTGATTAATTTGTTGGAAAATCAAGTAGGTTACATTGTAACATCCACAATTTAGCTGTTGAGTACTACAATTACTAGTTTATGTAAATGTATGTTATCCTTTTGTTTTCCCTCTTTAGGGGAAGCTGTGAACTAATAATGGACCAAGTGAAGAAGTGAAAAAAGAGAGAGATGTTTTTGCTTTTGGGGGGTGGACGAGCTGGTTAATTTTGCTATTTTATTCGAATGAGGCATGCATGCAAATTTAGTAATTTACTTGTATGTTGCAGGGATTGATGAGTGATAGTGATAGAGATACTATCCTAAAAGGTCTTGATGAGATAGAGAGGCAAATTGAGGCAGGTGAATTCTTGTGGAGGACGGATAGAGAGGATGTGCATATGAACATTGAAGCAGCACTTACTGATTTAGTTGGTGAACCTGCCAAAAAGCTTCACACTGCTCGGAGTAGAAACGATCAAGTTGCAACTGACTTTCGCTTGTGGTGCCGTGATGCTATTGACAGCATCATTTCACGCATTAAGAATCTTCAGGTCATTTGTTTTTCTTGTCTGTTTTGTCGATTATTATCTTTTGGAGGTCCAATAGGAACACTATTAAGTTCAACATAATAGCCTCTAGTTTCTTTATATGGTCAGCAACCATGAGTTTGTATTCTCATATTTTTTCATATTGTGGGAAGAAATGGTGAATGGCAAAATTGAACAATTTGCAACATAACCTGCAGACGGCACTGGTTAAACTAGCTCTCCAGAATGAGGGTCTTATTGTTCCTGGATATACTCATCTGCAAAGGGCACAACCTGTTCTGTTGCAACACCTTCTCTTAGCATACGTTGAACAGGTAAGTAGAATTTGCCTATTTATCATTTATAACGTCATATACCTGCTACATCTATCATCATAGGAAGCCTGAGTAAGTGAAGAAGTGTTTTTTTTTTTGAGAAGGTAACATATTAGTATATTAATAACAAACTACACGAAGGGTGTGTAGTTCCCCATTTTTACAAGAATCAAAACAAACTCCTAGTCCTTAGTCTTCTCATAAGGATTCTAATACATCAAAAATAGATTCAGGTTCTTCTAAGACCTCTTGTTTACACCAAAAATAGAATAGGACAAGACATTTCATTTTCAATTTTTGGATGCTTCTGGCCTTGTCCTCAAAACATCTCTAATTTCTTTCTTCCCAAATTGTCCACCAAATGCAAGCAGGGACAATCCTCCATCTCTCTTTCTCTCCGGAAGAGATACCCTCGCTGTTCCAGCATGCTAGTACCTTAGATATTCTTCTTGGCATAGTCCACCTGATGCCCCTCAAACTAATGAATATCCTCCATAACTGAGTTGTCCATTTACAATGTAAAAAGAGATGATTTATTGTCTCTGCCTCTTGTTCACATAAGTAACACTTGGAACAAAGTTGATAACCTCTCTTGATAAGGTTATCCTGAGTCAACACTACTTCTTTTGCCAATAACCATGTAAAGCAGGCAACTTTGTATGGAATCTTAACTTTCCATATCATCTTCCATGGCCAACACCCAATCTGATTGTTTGAGAAATTGAACTCCTTGTAGGCAGATTTAACTAAAAAGTTTCCTTGTCTATGCCCTTGCCATATCATGCAGTCTTTCCTAGTTGAATCCCTTGCTCTAGAGTATTATAGAACTGTGTTACTCTGCCAATCTCCCAATCATTTAGAAGTCTTCTGAAGGTTAAGTTCCAACCTTGGTTTGCCCATACCTCTCCAACTGTTGCTGCTTGCTGTTGATTTAGGAAGTGAATGTCTGGAAAAAGTTGTTTCAGAGCTCCTTGACCTAGCCAATTGTCTTCCCAGAAGGATATCTTCATTCCATCCCCAACTCTGACTCTAGACTTGATCATCATTTTAGGCCACAAATTTCTAATAGATCTCCAAAGACTAATCCCATATGGACTATTAACTACTTTGGTTGTCCATTCTCCTTCCATCTCATATTTTTCTTTAATCACAAGTTTCCATAGTGGCTGATCTTCTGCTGCAAATCTCCAAAGCCATTTCATCATCAAGCTTGTCTGACTTCAATCTGATCCCAGACCCCTCCTTTTGCTAGCTAAAGAGACACCATTTAACAAATGGATTTTTCTATTTTCACTGTTACCTTGCCATAAGAAGTTTCTTCGCAATGCCTCTATCCTTTTCATACATTTGCTGGAATGGGAAAAAGAGACATCATATAAGTAGGCATTGCATCAAGCACATAATTAATTAGAATCCAACTCCTAACCCCCCCCCCCCCCCCCCCCAAAAGATAGGTACTGATTTTTCCAATTTGCCAGCTTCTTCTCACATTTTTCTAACACCCCATTCCATATCCCCTTTGACTTACTCTTGGCCCCTAAAGGCATCCCCAAATAGACTGTTGGCAACTCCCCAATCCTTCCTCCCTGAATTCCAGCTAAGCTATGAATTTCTTCCACCTCATTAACCGAATATATTAAACTTTTGTTCCAGTTAATGTGTGATCCAGATGTGGCTTCGAAAAGAATGAAGATCACCCTCAGCATCATCAGTTGGTTCTTATCAGCTTCACAAAAGATCAATGTATCATCGGCATATTGAAGATAAGATATCACCAAATTGCTACCAACCCTGGAACTCACTTTGAAACCCCTAAGTTGTTGATTTTAGCTGTCTCTAACATATGATTTAGACCTTCCATGGCAATGATAAAGAGGAAGGGGGACAGGGGATCCCCTGTCTCAAACCTCTTTGAGAAGGAAAGAATCCAGCTGGAGAACCATTAACTAGTATTGAGAATTTGACCGTGCTAATACAAAATTTGACCCAATTAATCCATCTCTCTCCAAAGCCCATTTTCATGAGAGTACCCAGTAGGAACTTCCAATTTAAATGATCATATGCCTTCTCAACATCCAATTTGCATAATATCCCAGGTTCTTTGCTTTTGGTTCTTGTATCTACACATTCAGTTGCTATTAAAATAGCATCCATAATTTGCCTGCCTCTTGTGAAGGCCATCTGTTGTGTATCCACCAATTTATTCACCACTCTCTTAAGTCTCTCTGTTAACAACTTTGAGATGATTTTGTAGACGCTACCAATAAGACTGATAGGCCTGAAATCTCTCAGCTCCTTAGCTCCAACCTTCTTAGGTATCAGTGCTACGAAGGTAGCATTGAAGCTTTTTTCAAATATTCCTTGCGCATGGAAATTTTGAACAGCCGCTACTACTTCATTGTGAATCACTTCCCAGCAATGGCTAAAGAAAGCCATAGAGTAACCATCCGGTCCAGGAGCTTTATCCCCTGCACATGACATAACACTTTCCCATATCTCCTGTTCACCAAATGGACTTTGCAACATTTGATTCTCCTCTGGGGTAATCATAGGGCAATCCCTAATATTACCTTGTGGTCTCCACACCTCTGATTCTGTATACAACTTCTGGTAGAATGTTACTATTTCTCTTTTGATGTCTACAGCATTCTCCACAGCAACTCCTTCCACTATCAGGTGATCAATATTATTATATTTTCTATGAGCATTTGCAGTTCTGTGAAAAAATTTTCTGTTCCTGTCACCTTGTTTGTCACCTTGTTTCAACCAAAGAGCTCTGGATCTTTGTCTCCAAGCCACCTCCTCTTGTTTAGCAATCTCCTCAAATTCCATTGATAAGGCAGTTTTTGTGTAGATTTCTTCTTCATTCAAGTTCCTTTGATCCTGTAACTCTTCCAATTCTGCAAGTTGATTGAGAATATTTGCTTTTTGTAATTCCAGATTTCCTTGAATGGTTTTGCTCCATTCTTTAAGCTTCTCCTTCAAAGCTTTCAATTTAAAAGCTAAAATAAAATCAGGCCTCCCTTCACAGATAAAAGACTCCCACCATCCCTTAATTCTATCTTTGAAACCATCAGTTTGCAGCCACCAATTTTCAAACTTAAAATAAGACCTAACAGGTTCCCAATTTTCACATTGAAGCATCAGGGGTGTATGATCAGATATGATTCTATGAAGTGTAGTCTGTTTGATGTTTCTGAAACCTTCATTCCAGTCCTCTGAGATCAAAAACCTATCCAATCTTGCTGCTATATCATGCCTATCACCTTTCCTCCATGTGTATGTCGCTCCTGCCAGTTGAAGATCCACCAATTCCATGTCCTCAATGAACTCTGAGAACTCAGTCATAGCCCTATTAATTGTGTTGCAGTTCTTCTTCTCTGATGGGAATCTAACAGTGTTAAAATCCCCACAAACCACCCAAGGCCCAGAGAAAAGACCTCTAGCACCAGCCAACTCCCACCAAACTTTTTCTCTTTCTATTCTATCGTTTGGAGCATACACACTAGATAAATGCCAAGAAAAATCTTGAGATTTACCAGAGAATTTACAAGTAATTGAATAAGCACCTAAACTACTGACCTCCCCTTCCCAAGTTCTGCTATCCCAAAGTACTACAATTCCCCCTCTAGTCCCACTAGCTTCCAATTGTGCAAACTTTCCCCATCTATTTGCCCAAAGTTCTTTAATAATTTCCCTAATATCCCCTTCTACCTTGGATTCTTGGAAGCAATAAACATCTGCTTTCCAACTGTGAATCAAACTCTTGATCAGCAATCTTTTCCTGTATCGATTTAGCCCCCTCACATTCCATGAGACAATATTCACCTTCATTGATCATGAATAATAATAATTCCCCCCCCCCCCCCCCTACTTCTGGTACCATTGCTCTTGAATTTGCTCCCAATATCTAGGTTCTTTACTTCTTTAGAAACTTTTCTTTTTGGAGTTTCTGTCATCTGCATATCTGAAGGTTCTTTTTTTGCTTGCCTCTTCTCATCAATCTTCATGAATAACTCTAATGCTTCTTTCTCGCATCCTCGGAAATCCACTCCAAATTCTTTACTAAGCCGGATTATATTCTGATGAACCCATAGTGATGCTTCGAATTCTGGACATGTTGTAAGTTCAGAGGTTGTGCATCTTCAATTACCCAGCCCACTTCTTTGCTTCCTTCACTTGTCTGCATGTTCTCTCCTTCTGAAGTTTTGAGAGAATTACCACATTCTTCAAAAACTGTCATGGAATTTTCTTCATTGGACTTGATATTTTGTTCTTCTTCATCCCCTTCTTTTTTTTTCTGAGGCTTTTTCTCTCTCTTTATCTCTTGTGTCTGTTACATTCTGTATCGCTAATGAGGCTGATAGCGTAGCAGCAGAATTTGCAATTAATTCTTCCATAAAGGAATCGGGCCTGAGCTCATATTGGAGGCCCTCATGTGTTAAAAAATCTGAAAAGCTTTGGGCCAACAAATCTGGGCCCAAGGAGCTTTTTAACTGACTTATAGCCTGTTTGGCCAAGCTTCTTTTTGGCCAAAAGTGCTTTTTTTTTTTTTGCCAAAAGCACTTTTGGCCAAAAATTGAGGTGTTTGGCCAAGCTTTTGGAAGGAAAAAAAGTGTTTTTGAGGCGAAGCAGAAGCAGTTTTGGAGAAGCAGAAAAAAGTAGCTTCGCTCCAAAAGCACTTTTTTTAGAAGCACTTTTGAGAAAAATACACTTAGAAGCAGTTTTTTAAAGCTTGGCCAAACACTAATTGCTGCTCAGAAGTGCTTTTCAAACTAATTAGCCAAACAAAAACTGCTTCTCACCAAAAGTACTTTTGAGAAAAGCACTTTTGAAAAAAAGCACTTCTCAAAATAAGCTGATTTTTGCAGCTTGGCCAAACGGGCTATTAACTTCTGAACTGGGACCAATTCTTGAGCTTTTCTCCCACGTTAGAAGTCACGTGTGGATTCCAAAATTTTAATTTGTGGAACAGCCTGTATCTCTGCCGCTGTAGAAGAACCCACGTGCCCTGTCACGTCTTTACCTAGAGCCCCCCTCCCTGACACATATTCATCCTCTACAGTCCAGCGGTCCGAAGCCTTCTCTCCTCCTCCTTCTCCGGCGGAAGTTCTCACTGGTGCCTCACACCACACCTGAATCTGATAAATTAACCCTTCGAATCCCACCTTCACTGATTCCCCATCCCCTCTCACCTTTACCCTAGCCCATTTTAAGTGGTTTCTGAGCTCTGTCTCCTCTTCTGTTTGTAACCAACCACCGCAATAATCACCCACTTCCTTGAAGACTTTATGAGACCATAACTGGATAGGCAGACCAGCGAGCCTTATCCACACATGGTTTAATTTTTCACTACTTGGAATAGAGCCTACTGTTGGTGTCCACCATTGTAGATGGACCTTGTGCATTTTCCAGAACCATTCACCTTTCAGGACGTGCTCAGCAGTTGTCTTCGAAGAGAATTCAAAGAGAAACCGATTATGTCCCATCTCATAAATATTGACTCCATGTGCTTGCTTCCCAACGACGAATTCGTCTGAGAGAGTAGGGATATCAATAATTCCTTCAGGGATGCTCCCAACTATACTCCTGTTAAGCAATTCGTTTTGGGTGTGATTACTCTCTCCTGAAATGCATATAACTCCTCGCTTTTCCTGGACTACAGCTGCATTTATTTCCCTGGAAATCCATTTACTCCTTCTGATAGTGTCAGAATATTTAAGGCCTTCCTCTATAGTTCTGGAAGGATTTGTAACTGATTTCTGAATGTTGTGATTAATGAACCTTACAATCTTAACTGCTATATCCACCCAACCTGTATTGAATGACATTTCAGGGACAATAATAACTGATCTCCTTCTTCCTTGAACATTAATGATTGTTATATAACGTCCATATTTGTTATAGTTTCTCGAACAAAATAACCCTGAGAGGTGATCACGGAATTTCCATCTTTTGACAAAGTTTCCTCTCACTTTTGAGGCTTCTTTGAGAGTACCGCACAACCACGCCATCGTCTTCCAGCTAAAATTTGTTCTCCTGATCAGATTCTTACCACGTTCCATCCACTCGAACCAAGTCCCATCTCTGGTTTCATTCTTGATAATGTCATAAGATTTAAAACCCACTGTAAAATATATCGTATCTTCAGTCATCTTAAGCCGGACAAAGATAAATGAGTAACAATAATATGCTAATTCCGACCAAAGAAGCTGCCGGAATTCCTCCCTGAAACAGTTGTCTAAAACAAAGTGTAGGCTAACAGAGAGTTAGTCTCGGGAAATGTGTCTGAGAGCATTTCTATGGTTTCATATTGTTAGTGAGAACTCCAGCATCGTTAGGAACTTTTCCCTTTTGGACTTTGTTAAGAAGTGTTGATAGATTGATTACTTGAAACTCTTGTTTATTCATGACAAGAGATTTTTTTTTCAATCCTTGCTTGTGACAAGTGGAGCCTCAGACAATACCACAAACATTTACATCCATTTCCCTTCGAAATTTATTGTCTTTTGACCTCACAGACTTCTATTTATTTTGAAATAGTTAAAACTTGTCCATTTGAAATTGTGAATTAGCTTGCTGACGGAGTATCAGATCTTTCAAAAAGAAAAATCTATTTTTCATTGACAATACCACGTGGAGCATTTTCTCCTACTTGTTTTGAGGACCTTTTTGCTCCATTGGCAAGTGTACCTCTCACTTGCTTGTTACAATGAGGCCCTCAACATAATTGTAGACTATAATTTCTGTGAAGGAAGTATCTGGTCATTTCTTGACGATGTTGTGCAAATTGGTCAACCATTGTTTTTTAGCTGTTTTCCTTTTCTTTCTCCCTTTACCTCTTTTTCCTTCTAATTTGTTTTGGAAATTTATAAAGAACTTTGTTTTTCTCCTCTCCTAAGGAGAAGATCCTTTTCAGTGCCAAGTGGTATTATATATGTTACTGCTTTCTATACTTGCTTTGTTGTTCTTCCCTTTGGATCTCATGTGAGTCTGCTAGTTCAATAGCTTCATTTAGCTGTGCTGGAGTTTAAGAATATTAAACCTACATATTGCTGACAACAGAAGAATGATTTCGTTGTAGCTTGAGCGTGACGCTGGCCGTTTGTTAGATTGTAGAACAAGGCTGAATTTCTGCCCTCTAGGTGCATGTGCATTAGCTGGTACTGGTCTTCCCATTGATAGGTTTATGACTTCTGATGCATTGGGATTCGCTGCGCCCATGAGGAACAGGTACTAATCTACGATTTATTGCGTACAATTATATGATTAATACCAATGGAACTTGCAACCTTTGGGTACTTCTACTTGTAGTTACAGATGTACTGCCTTTTCTTTCTCTTCCCTTTTTTTTTGATGAAGTAGTGAGTTTTATAGAAAAGGCATCAAGAAGATGCAAGAAGTACAAGAGAGAGGGAAAGAGTCAGCTTTGATACAAAAAAAAAAAAAAAAAAAAAAAAAAGTACTAGGCCAAAGCAAAAGAGCTGACAAAATCCAAAAAGTTAATATGGCAATCTACAGGGGCTAAATACTACCAACTAAATAACCAAAAGAGACATCTAGCTTTAAGTGTGTGTGTTGGAGTTGATATCCCATCAAAACATCTATGATTCCTTTCTGTCCAGACACACCAAAAGATACTGCCAGACTCTCCTGATGACTTTATCAACTTTCCAACCAGACCAGCATTCATAGACTTCTCTGATGCTTTGTGGCATGACCCAACTGAGACCAAAGATAGAAAGAAACATGCACCATATGTCTGAGTCACCTGACCAATGTAGCAAAAGGTCTCTGTTGGACTCTGAATGTTGCTGGCATATAAAACATTTGCCAACAATTGGCATACCTCCTGTTAAGGTAAAATTCATTAAGGGCTATCCAGCTGAAGCAAATGATCTTTGGGGGAAGACTTGTCTTGTCTTCCAGATGTAATTCTCTTCCCTTTTCTTCAGAAAGGATTGTTGCATGGGGGGGGGGGGGGGTTAAGAGCAGGAGTTGTAGTGTACTATTCTTGTTATTTAGAGAATGAAGACATAATTGATAGAGACATATTGCTACCTGTGAACGAAATAGAAAGAATAACTTGTGTTCTCATTCCAAGAGGTGAGCAATATAAATACATGTACATTAGATGCTAAAAGAAATAAAAGAGATTCCTACAAATCTGCTATTTATGTACTACTAAGAAAGAGTCTACATTCATTCTATAATAAGTGTCTAGATTCATCCTATAATAAGTGTCTAGATTCATTCTATAACACTCCCCCTCAAGCTGGAGCATATATGTTGATCATGCCCAGCTTGTTACCAAGGTAACCAATTCGAGTACCATTCAATGCTTTAGTGAACAAATCAGCTAGTTGCTCTCCTGTCTTCACGTAGGCAGTGGAAATCAAGCTCTCTTGAATTTTCTCACGAATAAAATGACAGTCAACTTCAATATGCTTGGTTCTTTCATGATACACTGGATTTGAGGCAATATGGAGCGCAGCTTGATTGTCACACCAGAGCTTTGATGGAGTAGGATGCTTCAACCCTATTTCAGTTAAAAGATGGTGTATCCACATTATCTCACATGTTGATTATGCCATAGCTTTATACTCTGATTCTGCACTGGACCGAGATACAACATTCTGTTTCTTACTTCTCCATGATATCAAGTTTCCACCAACAAATACACAGTATCCAGTAGTAGATCTTCTGTCAATCTTGGATCCAGCCCAATCTGCATCTGCAAAACAATCAATGCGGGAATGCCCGTGGTTGCTATATAATATGCCAAGTCCAGGAGCTCCTTTTAGGTAACATAGGATTTGCTCCAAAGCCTCCCAATGTTTGATTGTGGGCGCGGACATGAATTGGCTAACCATACTTACTGCAAAAGCAATATCTGGACGAGTCACAGTGAGATAGTTTAATCTCCCAACTAACCTCCTGTATCTATCCGGATCATTAAATGGCTCGCCATCATCTTTCATATGATGCAAATTAGGAACCACTGGAGTACTGCAAGGCTTGGCAGCCAACTTACTAGTTTCTGCCAGTAAGTCAAAAATATACTTTCGCTGAGATAGAAAAATTCCCTTCTTGCTTCTAGTTACTTCTACTCCCAAGAAATATTTCAGTTGTCCCAAGTCTTTTGTATGAAACTTAGTATGCAAGAAAGACTTGAGAGAAGAGATTCCTGAATAGTCACTTCCTGTAATCACAATGTCATCAACATATACGACAAGGAAAATATGATCCAGCTGTTGATTGCCCGTAGAAGACTGAATGATCACATTTGCTCTTTTTTAGCCCAAATTCTTGAACTGCCTCACTAAATTTACCAAACCAAGCCCGGGGACTCTGCTTCAAGCCATATAAAGACTTCTTTAAATGACAGACCTTTCCATACTCCCCCTGAGCAACAAAACCAGGTGGTTGCTCCATATACACCTCTTCATGAAGATCACCATGATGAAATGCATTCTTAATATCCAATTGATGCAAAGGCCAATTCTCATAAGCCGCTAGAGAAATGAACAAACGGACAGAAGTAAGTTTGGCAACCGGAGAGAATGTCTCTGAATAATCCACTCCATAAGTCTGAGCATACCCTTTGGCCACAAGTCTGGCCTTAAGTCTTGCCACAGAGCCATCTGGATTAACTTTGACCGTGAAGACCCATTTGCATCCCACTGCTTTCTTTCCACTAGGTAAATTCACTAAATCCCAAGTATGGTTTTCCTCTAAGGCATGTATTTCCTCAAGCATTGCTTCAGGCCATCCAGGATGATTCAAAGCCTCTTTCACCGTTTTGGGTATAGAAATAGAGTCTAGAGACGCAATCAAAGATCTAGATGCGGGGGATAAGTGGTCGTAGGAAACAAAATTAGCAATAGAATATGTGGATTTGCAAGTGCGTGTACCTTTGCGTAAAGCAATGGGAAGGTCAAGGTCTTCTAGAGGATCAGGCGGAAGAGGAACAGATGACGAAGGAACTGGTGCAGGAGACGTATCATTTGTCTCTCGCCTGCGCGAGTAAACTTGAACAATTGGTGGTCTTGCTAACACAGTTGGAGCAGGTGTTGAAGGCACAATAGTCGATTGGTGCTCGATAGAAGAGCTAGGAGATGAAGGAACATCATCTGATTGTTCTGTCAAAGTACGGGTAACCTGATATACTAGCCACTCATCTTCCTCCCCCTGACTAGTAGAGACGGGAGGTGCATAGAAGAATGGTATAGTCTCTGAAAACACCACATCAATTGACACCAGATATTTGCCAAGTTCAGTAGAATAACACCGATACCCCTTCTGAAGGCGGGAATAACCAGGAAAAACACACTTCAATGCCTTAGGATCCAACTTGGTGACAGATGGTCGAACATCTCGAACATAACATGTGCTTCCAAACACCTTAGGTTCCACAGGAAATAATGACTTATTTGGAAAAAGAATACTGTAAGGCATATTACCTCCAAGCACAGTAGATGGCATGCGATTAATCAAAAAGCAAGCCGTGGAGACCGCATCAGCCCAGAACTGTTTAGGAACTTTCATTTGGAACAGAAGTGCCCGAGCTGTCTCAAGTAGATGCCTATTCTTCCTTTCAGCAACTCCGTTTTGAGAGGGTGTATCAACACATGAAGACTGATGTAGTACACCATGTTGTCTCATGTAGGATTGAAATAACTCTGACATGTATTCTTTAGCATTATCACTCCTTAGAATACGCACCGAAGCATTGAATTGAGTTTTGACTTCAGCACAAAAGGCAGAAAAGTGAGTAAACACTTCAGAGCGACTCTTCATAAAGTAAATCCAAGTCATTCGGGAAAAATCATCTACAAAAGTGACAAAATACTTATGTCCAGTTTTAGAAACAAAAGGACATGGTCCCCAAACATCAGAATGAACTAACTCAAAAGTTGACTCAGCTTGCTTGTTATCCCTTGGACCTAACGAGATGCGATGATGTTTTGCAAATCGATATGACTCACAATCCAATGAAGAAATATTCTGAAACTGAGGTCAGAGCTTCTTCAACAAAGGTAAAGAGGGATGCCCCAATCGACAATGTGCTTCAAAAGGAGACACGATACTAGAGCATACAATAGACTGTGGCTCCAATTCATTAAGGATATAGAGATCACCGGATAAATACCCTTTACCAATAATTTGCTTCGTCGTAAGATCAAGAAACAAACAATGATTGGGAAAGAACGCTACATAGCAATTAAGGTCTTTGGTGATTTTACTAACAGAAATCAAATTAAAGGCCAAGTTTGGTAGACTTAATACAGATGACAGGGTAATAGAGGAAGTGGGTTTAACAGTCCCAGATCCAACACTGCTACATGTTGTTCCATCAGCTACAGTAACTGAAGAGGGTGCTTTGTGTGATCGAAAGCTAGAAAAAATATTTGGATTACCTGTCATGTAATTTGTGACACCTGAGTCAATCACCCATTTATTTGAAGAGGTGATAAGACATGTCTTATCTGGCCCGGCAAAAGCAGTAACTGAAGAAGATTCCTTAATTGATTTATGATATTGAAGGAACTCAAGGAACATTTAGCCCTGATAAGCAGAAGCCTCAAGCTAATTGACGTCAATAAACTAATGAGCGAATGGGATGTGGTCCACGAGATTTTTTGGAAGAAGAAACCCTTAGGGTTGGTACGAGGGATAAGGGATAATTTATCCCAGGATTAAATTTGAGATGAGTTTATCCCACGTTTGGTTAGGATAAAATTGCGTTATAACTAATCCCGGGATTAGTAGTGTTATTTTTATCCCTATGGGAGGGTGAAATAACAATCCTGGGATAACTTGTTTCCCAACTAAACGACCCCTTAATGTTACAGTCGTCTGATGCTTCTGTTGTAACTTAGCTCTGTAAATCCTCTCTGTCCTTTGACTTTTTTTAATAGACTTGACAAAATACCATTACTATTCTGAGTTTGATAATCTGCATTGCATTAGTTTCTTTTATGCAATTGACGTCTGGATTTTTCTTTAATGGTAACAATGTTTATGTGCAATAGCATTGATGCAGTGTCCGATCGAGATTTTGTGCTGGAGCTTCTTTCTGCTAATTCCATCACTGCTGTCCATCTCTCTCGCCTGGGTGAAGAATGGGTATTATGGGCATCTGAAGAATTTGGCTTCTTGACCCCTAGTGATTCTGTTTCCACTGGAAGCAGTATAATGCCTCAAAAGAAGAACCCAGATCCAATGGAGCTTGTTCGTGGAAAATCTGCTAGAGTCATAGGGGACTTGGTTTCACTTCTTGTGTTGTGCAAGGGACTTCCTCATGCGTACAACCGGGATTTGCAGGTATAGTGCTTTCCTGGAAACTCTACACCAACAATAGTCTAGATGCTCAGAAAAAATTCCATTAGCAGTTTCACTTCTTAGGAAGTTCCTGTTACACCACGTCTTCCTCAGAATGCACATATATACATTTTGACAATATTTTCTGTTTTTGCATAATTCTCACTTTTAGTTATTTTTCCTCGTTTTATGTTAAATAGGAAGATAAGGAGCCCGTATTTGACAGTGTCAAGACAATAGTTGGGATGCTTGAGGTCTCAGCAGAGTTTGCACAGAATGTTGCCTTTAACCGAGAGAGAATACAAAAGGCTCTACCGGCTGGTCATCTTGATGCCACTACGCTCGCTGATTACCTTGTGAAAAAGGCAAGTGATTTTTGGATCCTTGACTTGTTTTTCCCTTGTTACTTTGATATATCATTATTAGTGGCTTTCTAAAACTACAGCACTTAGGAGTCAGGAGATAGATGACAAGTGTAAATGAAGTAGTTCTTGTGCTGAAGTGGCTTTTAGCCCATGACAGAAGGAAACTTTTGCCAAATTTTTCCTAATGAATCAATCTCTTACATTTCTGTTGTATTAAGAACAATTTAACTGAATGGCTTTTGGCTTTACTCAAATTGAGGCTTCAGTTCAGATAATCGAATACGAGGTTTTCATTTGGAGTCCCCTTTGAGCATCCTCAAGTATCCAGAACGTCTTTTACAAATTGTGCATCAAACATAGGCCTTCCTTTTCCAACTAAGTAGCCTTGGCATTTTGTTCCCATCGTGGATTTACAAATTAGTACATACCTCTGGGTTGACTAATAAACTCGTCACTTTCCTAGTTTGTTGCAGCAGTTAATCAGTTATTTGTAGAATAATTAGCTTTTCTCTCTCAATGATGATGAAGTTGGGATTTTTCTTGCAGGGAATACCTTTCAGAACTTCTCATGACATAGTTGGGAGGTCTGTCGCTTTGTGTGTTTCCAGAAACTGTGAGCTTCAAGACCTTAGCCTTGACGAGTTGAACAGTCTAAGTCCGGTATTTGACAAGGATGTCTACGAGTTTCTGGGGGTTGAAAATTCAATAAAGAAATTCAGATCATATGGCTCCACTGGTTCAGAATGCGTTGCTGGTCAGCTTGATTACTGGATTGATAAGCTTAATATCAGCAGAGAAAGTTAATTTTGGAGAGCTCGTCGCAGCTTGTAAGAATTTTGGAGACCTTGGTCGATTGCTAGCTACTGTTTCCCTAACAGAATTTTGTAATCTCACTAGAGATGTATTTATGTAATACTAGTAATTGAGAGCAATCAAAAAAAATATTATGTTGAATGAATAGAAAATTATTTCAAATGGTGCTTGTGTTTTGACAACCAAAGTAGAATTTTATTACTGTATGAGATATAAATTATTGGAACTCAGATTTTTTTTCTACAATACTTCACCATGGCTATCTATAGTATCAGATAGCAAGAAGTCAAAACTACAAAATTTACCAGATTACTAGAAATCAGACTAACTTCCCTTGAGATATTTTACGAACATTGATTTTCCAAAACTAGTTTTTAACGTGCACAAAAACTAGGTGTTATGCTTCATGTGAAATAAAACTTGAGCTTCTTCACACTGAAAAAACAATCAATTTCACTTAAATATTGGAGTAAGTTTGGAGAATCACTACAGAGACGCTCTTCAGATTAGAGCATCCAGTGACCTACTACAAAGATCAGGACCTCCCAATCAATCGAGGCAACTCTTTTTCGGGTAAGGAAAAGATTAGCCATTAAAAAAGAAAAACAAGTGGCATAACATCGTGATCAAACTTCATGTAATCAACCTATACATACAATTTGAGTCGAAAAAATACAGAACTCATTCACTCAATTTTCTTTTCCATCCGATGTGTTTGCCGGCCTGTGAGGACTTCTAGCAGAAGCTGGATGTGTTATCAGGTCAAATGGATCACTAGTCTCAGAATTCCTCTCTCTCAAAGTGTTGTTTCCATTTGTTAACGCAGAACGCATGGATCTAGGTAGTTTTAATGGAGAAGTACTATCAATCTCATTAACCTTGTTTTCTGTTACTGATGCATCAGCACTGCCCGGTTGGGATGGTTTTATTGGGGCATCTGCATTACTTGCTGTAGGAGCAGGAACAAGTTGGATAACAGATTTCCCCCATTTCTTCCGCTTGTCAGGTTTTGGTGCTTTTGATTTTGCCTGTAGGATTGCAGAAGTAAGAAAAGGTAAATTGCAAGAATCCACATTATTCTGTAGAAGGAACTTGAATAGATCAGCATACATGCTTCTAGCCAAGAAAAAAAACTGAAAAAAGAGAGTTACAGGATTGCTTACCAAGGTGTTTCCAATATCCGATAGGGCCTTTCGTCTTGTTTCACCCTTATCCTTTGCCTCCGTAGGCTTTTCAGAAAGGGCATTCTGAAGAAGCATGGCACCTTGAGATGCCAGCATTTGACGCTTCTCAGTTTCATCAGTTTCCGATGTGTTTCCCTCGTCACCTACAGTATCCAAAGAGGGCAATTGGTTGTCTTCCTTGGATACCACTCTGTTGCTGCATTTGTTAGGGAGACAACCACATGATACCCCACAGGAACCACCTACAGCCCGGCATTCACATCTAGATGTCTTGCATTCAGAGGCTTTACTGCACGAACAGCATGTACCATAATCAGTGTCAGTTCTGTCCTGGTCACAGTCTGAATCCGATGTGTCCATATCTTCTAGGTTCCATCCCCCACTGTACAGTAAGGAACTCCGGTTTCCCTGTAGAAAGACACATGGTTAGCAATCCCTAATTTGTGAACACCCAAAATTGATAAATTATTCAAGAGTCCGAGATATATGCCTTTTGTCTCAGGTCATAACCATGACCAATGTTACTTTGCACATTAGAGCCGGAGTTGTTTGTCCTTCCCTTGTGGTGTTCTAATGCCAATTTCTGTAAGCAATCCAAACAAGAAAACAATTTAATGCAGGAATATGAAATATTATGCTTTTAAATTCTGTCACAATCCCAATTGAGAAGGTAAAGGTCATATCAAGAGCAGAAAACAAACTCTTGTCAGTAATGCAGCACATTCACCAATCAAACATCTGTAACTTTTATACTTTTCTGAAGACTACCAACTTGCACAGGAAGTAGAATTACAATCTATATTCATGTCCCCCTATTCCCAACATGTAGGAAGATACAGTATGAAGTTTCTGTTATTCAGTAGGCACTTGTAAACGTGTTTTCTTGGTAACTCAATTGGCACAGACATAACAAAGTATGCTACTCAGGTCTGGTTTGATGCAAATGCAAAAAGACCGGCAAATTTAAGCAAATTAAGATGAAGACGATGCATTGCTCAAAAAACATTCTCCACTTAAACTCTTTCATATTCATCAGTTCCTGCTAAACAAGAGATGTTTATTCCTTCAACATCTGTACTCTGTATAAAAATAGCTTATATCTCGCAAACCTCCCAGGGAAAATAATAGTGAAAAAAAAGAGTGCAGGGACTTCAAACATAAAGACTTTCCTTATTAAAGAAACCTTGACAATATTAAAACTCGCCTTAGTAAAAGATTCAACAATTAATAAACTCAATACTTAAGGTCAAGCAAGTGCCTAGACTTGAAAAATAAACAATTATGCTAATTCGATTAAAAAATGTACTGACCATCAACTTCTCCTGCTTAATCAGTTCACTATTTTGCAACTCTAGCTGTCTCAGTTCACTCTTTTGCGACGCTAACTGTTTGACCAAATTTACGACTTTTTCCTTCGACACCATGATTTCAGCATCCTTTTCTCTGCATTCAACTTCTTTATCCCTTAGCTGGCATCTAGGGGAAACCAAGACCAAGACAACAGTTACAATCTGTTTCAGGAAAGTTAGCATCAGCAAAAACCTGCAAATTTTAAATGCATTTACCTAGAAGATGATGTGAGGTTAAATAAAAAGTTCATAATATTTTTTGCATCAGCAAGAGACCGAACTTGGTTCCATCTTCCCCTACCACTAAAGGTCCGTTGTTCACGCTCTTCTGCTTCCGACAACTGTGATGCCATGGAAACAAGTGTGCTAGATGAAGTGGCAAGCATGTTTTCAAGTGCACTTATCCTGGAACTTCTTACACTCGGAGACATGCAATCACTGTGAAAGCAATTACATAGGAGTAATTATGTTAATAAGGCCATACACAATGTAAATTCAGAACGAATCTTGAAAGAAATTACTGCCATTAAAAGTTTTACCTCAAGTTTTGCAACTTCAACTCTGCAAGCTCATTGGCCATTCTTGATCTCCTGCAGTTCAAAATATCACATAAAATTATCAAAAGAAACAAAAGTTGCACTACTATATCTAATTTTAATGTTTTTTTTTATTAGTTTATTTATTTAATAAAGAGCACTGCTATCTCTGATATCCAAGCTATGTAACAAATACTGAAGAAATACCACTGCTAATAGAAATATGGAATATGAAATAGTGTGTTGAGAAACTGAATCCCTGAATCCTTGGTGTCAATGCTATAAAATATACTACACTCTGAATCTAACTTTTATATACTGATCTTTAATCACTAAATGAAATTTATACAAAAAAAACATGAAATATTCAAAGATCATAGCCATTGCTGAGCCTTCATATCCTGCACCAATCTTGGCAAGTTAAGACTTGATATAGTTTCCAAATGCAGAGAGTAATTGACTGAATATTTTTTGGCAAGGAGAGAGTAATTGACTGAATATGACTGAATATTTTTTGGCAAGGAGAGAGTAATTGACTGAACATAGGTTTCTACCTTATCGGACTACCAAGAAGGAGCTAAGATTGGTGTATCTAGAATGGTGAAGTGGGTGGTTGGTAAGAATGGAATCTTGTCCATTTAGATACCCATGGACAGAACAAATACAGGCCAATTCAATTCGTGTTTCCCCAACAAAGTAAGAGATCATCTTGGTATTACTATGTGATATGGGTGTTAAGTAAAAAGAAAACAAATCCCAGTCCCAACGATCATCGCATGAACTTTACATGATATAAAACCCAGACATTGCACCACTCACCAAATGCTAGCTCTCAGAAACATAAAGATGTCAACTGTCCTAGCTGCCAAGTTGATTATTTTTTAATAACCGAGAAATCTGTTTAGGGTCAACCCTTAGGACCAACAACAGCCTCAGAAACTCGGGAATAATGAATCTGCCCCTCTATCCTTCTCCACTTAAATATCAGGCTTACTTCGCATTGCGCAGAGCTCGAACCTATGACCAATTCACAAGTCCCTCAACCCTTGTGACCTGAACTAAGCCCTAGGGGCCCTAACTGCCAAGTTGATTGATCACTTGTGAACATTTCAAATGCTGCAACTCCTAATGCTACTATCTCTACCATCACCTCAGCTCTAATTTACAACAACAACATCTAACATACCAGCTATATTCCCACATGTGGGGTCTGGGGGTAGTATGTAAGCAAACCTTACCCCTACCTAGTGAAGGTAGAGAGGCTGTTTCCAATAGACCCTCAGCACCTTAGCTCTAATTTATGCATCTATATTATGCATAAGTCATTGATGTCCTGATTGCACCTTCCCACTACAGGAGGACTTCGAAGATGCATCAAATGGTGAGATCAGCCAGTAGTTGATTGATACTATCCAAAAAAAAAATGGATTCCCTTAAATGCAAAAGATTGAAAATAGTACATGCATACAATCTGGGCAGAAAGGAAACAACCTAAAAACTTTCAAGTGCTAAATAGAAAAATTTGACGGTTAAACCCAATAAACAATAAAAGGGTCTAAGATTAAAAAAGTTCACAAATTATCATTAAAGCCTCGTTAGTGATAATTAGTGTTTTTGTATGACAAGTTCATCCAATCATAAAGAATTGACGAACTTACTCTTGCATCTGACGCTCATATTTGGATCGCACTTCATGCACCCGTACAGTAACTTCAAGTTCATGTTCAATTGCTTGCATCAATGCCTGTATTACAAAACAAATAATTAACTGGTTGTAAAAGTTTAGGTTCCCAAGGAAGGTCTTTGATGATAGATTCTATGAACAAGAAGAATGGTCTTGTAAATTCTCTGTAGAAGGATTTGAAGATAGTTTTAAATGGCAAACAATTTATGATGAAAAACATATGCAAAAGTAACTCCTTCTGGGCACCGATACCTGGAATCCTGCGGCACTAGCAGCATGACCTGCCATATCACGTGATGTTTTTCGAGACTCTAGCAACTCCTTAAGTCGTTTACTGGCCATTGCAGCTTCTTCAGTTTTCCGCTGCAACACCTGTATACCATTTAAAGGTAAGCCATGTAATACTTTCCAAGCTGCATGGTTAACAAACTCCA